TCAACCCATATGCCCCCTTTGTAACCTACAGGAGGAAATGGAGAAGACCCACCTGATTCGGTGTCCAGCCCTAAAGACAACGACGGTAAGCCAGAGATACTGGGAAGCAAGAAGACAGCTAATGAACTGCTATTAATTAACTGCTATATACGTACCCCCCCCCCATCCATGGGGAAAGCTGAAGTCAAAGTTTAAGGGCTAATGATAAATATTATAAAGCCTGCCATTTGAAAAAAACTTTTCCAGTAAGTTTATTTCTTCCACTTCCAGTGTCACTGTTCCATCGACCTGATAATATTTTGCGGTTAACTTATTCAACAAATTTTGACATTTTGAAAATTTACTTCAAGTAACACTCTTGTCAATATTTGATTGCTTAATAGAACGTGAGGAAAATTCGCACTTTTAAAGGCCACAAAATGAAAATTTTCAAAACTCCAGTAGAGAAATAAAAATAAATACAATTCATTTTAGAGTGTGATATTCAGGATCCCTGACCTCTTTACCTGTGCAAAATTAAAATGACCACCTTCATAAGAATCTAAAAACACAAGGTCAAATATAGGACTCCAGTTCCGGTTAAATTATAAAATACCGCGTCCTTTTTAAAAAGTCCATTTTTAATATTTGTCGCCTTAATTTGACCTCTTTTATTAAATTTAAAATCTGTCTTTTACTTGAAATGGTTCCTCTGAAGGTATGCTTTTGGATGCGCTTTCACATAGGAGTTCGCAAAATTTTATGTGCAAAATTTTACATAGTTAATTTGTCCTTGTCAAATTCCCATATCCAGCTGAAATCCATAATAATAATTTATTTTACAAAGTGTAATTACGATTTTACGATGTTGAAAGAAAATATAATTTGGCTTTCAAGGGTGGTGTGTCATTTAACGCCTGAATAGATCTAAAACGGAAAATTTGAAAGGAAAGTCTTTTGAAATCAATAATTAAGTAATCAATTTTAGAACTAGAAATTTCATTAGAATTGTCTTTTAAAACTGTCGGTAATTTGTATTTTAAGTCAAATTTTGATACTTTTCCATTTTGTGAAAATCTGTGTTTGAATTATCTCTAAATTTGATTTCCGTGCAAGTAAAACTATATGAAGCAGACAAAAAAAAGTCAAAAATCTTTTAATTTAAAAATATTCGTCTGAACCACAATTTCTTCAGTCATATTTAAATGACGTTCCCATCTTAATAATAATCACCATAATCACTAATTGAAATGCGCTCCATTTATGTATATAATTTGTTGGAAAAGAATGGAACATTTTTTAGCTGTTGTAAATTCTAATTAACCAATAGATTGGTTAACCAAGAACGGATTTATTTGAGAACTGCTCAAGAGTTCGTTGATAAAATCAGAAGTATCGTGAAAGGCAGATGTCTATCTTGCTCTTCATATTTTACTGATGAAGAGATGATCAAATGTGTCACAGTAACTCCGTTTCCAGAGAACGAGAGAGTGGAGATAGGGACTAAACCAGATAAGATAAATTAGTAGCCAGATATATATTTTCAAGTTTATGAGATCAATATGAACCACCAATTGTGACCAATTGTCCGTTTAAGAAGGATACGATTTTTCAGACAGCAGTCTAATCGATACACGACCCTGGCTGAGGCCCTCAGGTCTTGATTAGCCATATTTGTATCTTTAAGTAGCGAAGCAACAATGTACTGTTGTGGAAGGAAACTCGATGAAACATCAATAGACCAATTGAACCTAGCAATTCAACTCATTTTTATCGCTTAAACTTAGTTCTTCCCTATTTGCATATGTTTCAATACCCCCATTCTCTTATTAATGAGTGATTAATTGTGCAATACTATAATAAGCAGGCGCATTTAGTACTCATTAGAACCTTGCCCTTCAAATTATGAAATAAATCAATTATTTAAATTCACTTATAAAACTTGATGCAAATGATTCATTGACACATTGATACTTTATTTAATATTTTATATCAACATCGCAATTATCTTCTTCTATGTACTACGAACTCCTATACAGCAAGAACATACGTACTGAATAATCATTATTATCTGCTAAATAAAAAGACGCCTATCTCAATTTTGAGGAGGAAGCGAAATTGTATAACGAAAGATAGAGAGCTTCAAAGTAGCCATGGAATCAAATTGTACCATATTTAACAAAAAAGGTAAATTTATGTTCATTGGTATCGTTTCCTGATTTACGGAAAATGCCTTTCTACAGGGTTTAGTACTTTTGATTACTGTTTAAACAAGATGGTAGTACGAGCCACTTCATGTCAGTAGATTAATTAAAAATTACGAAACTAGAGCTCTTCTTCAAAAGAAATGCAAAACATTATGTTTTTAACTCAGTGCGGTTGGGGGCAGCTTGCTGTACACTTCATGTTAGTTAAATATCGAAGGAGTCAGCTGACCAACGAGGAAAAATAATTTCATTTTCCAGACAATACCGTCCATTTACATTCATATATATATATCTATATATTCAAGTAAATATAATGATGCCATAATAAGCAAATTTTGAATAAGGCAAATTTATTGCCCAAGTATAAATTAAAAATGATTTCCAAACCAGTTTCGGATAGTGAAGTCTGGTTAAAATGTATTGGTCTTATTCTAAAATTATTAAAATCTTTGTTTTCTTTCTTCGTGAATTAGAACGGATGTAATGAACATTAATCACTGAAGCGACCCGTTAATGGCGTTATTTAACTTTAACGGACTCAAAAGATGTTAATTATTTAGACTATTTGAATTCAATGACAATTTACTATGCTCTGGCAAATATGAGTTTGATTTCAAGTTCCACATCTCTAAATAATAAAGTTGCCGCCTAGAAATAAAAGCAATATATGAAAATTTAATTCAGGTGAGGCAAATTAATCTCTGGAATGTTGCATGCAATTTGCTCATCTGAGCTTCAAAGACATTTTGGGGGGTTTGTGGGGGCTGGTTTCCATGAAACTGCATGAATTAATAGAATGTCTTCAACGCCAGTCTTCATTATTTTTACACAGTATGTAACATGGTAACGAAGTTCACAGAAATTAACATTAAATAAACTTTACCTGCTAATCAGTGATCCTTTTATAGCAGTGACTGTAATGGTGCTCAGTAGATATGAAGACACATGAGTTTTAAAAAATAAAAACGACTTCCCAGGAATTTGCACACAGAAACAAGTATTTTTCAGAGATAGGAGTTATTCAAATGCATGTTGACAATTTTACTTAAGTTTTCAGCCTTGAATACTTTAATAAAATTGCATATAGTACTATTAAAAGGATATTTTCATGCACTTTTGATTTTTGTTCTTTACGCTTGGACTCAAAAGTAGGCAAGATAGATGGCAATCATTGCACTTTCCTAAAGATCATTTCTGTGGGCTCTGTGTGCACGGATATCGTGCACCTTTGCCTGCTTACAATTTTTGAGTTTCAATGTTCCTTATTTACTCAATTCTTTATTTTGTACATATACAAACTATTGAGTTAAAGAAAAAATGTTATCATCTCTTGGCGTCAATGAAGGCTTCAACAATAGAGATTGTTTGATAAATTTGATTATTTTATAGTTCCGTCAGAGTATTAGCAGCCGATAGGCTTAGAAACATAAACAGTGATAATGAGTTTAAAATCATCATCTTTATCAAATTGTTATAATTAATTAGTTGAGGTGAGATACAATCACATTCACTGTAATTGGACAAAAGAATGCAAGCGAGACTGTTTGTATTTCAATCGTTACCACTTAAAATCATATGTTACAGCGGAGGCTCGTTTCTGGTCACTATTGGGGAAACATCTATGAAGCCAGCAGCACGCCCAGGTGCCGTGTAGAATAGCTTGTTTGGAATGGCTTCAGGGGTTGAGTTGAAATAATTCTTTGCGACTGTTGCCATGAATTGGTGAATATTACTCTCCGAAACCAGAGAAACGACACAGCCACCCCACCCAGCCCCTGTTAGTCGACTTCCATAGCTTCCAGCGAAGCTAGAGTTCGGGAAATAATTTTAAGGCATTATAATTCAATAGTACTTTATCATATTCCTTCCTTTACCAACTTCCTTTAAAAATACAAAATTTCATTTAAAATTTTGTTTTTATTAACAATTGTGTATTCGAAAAAATGATTACTACGTGCGCGCATAGCTGAACAAAATAGTTATAACGGTTGTTAGTTATATCAATATATTTCTTTAACATTTTATACAAATTAATTCCATTGGAAAATGCTGAATATAAAAATAACTCTAATGGACTTTATTCCTATGTATCCAGAGGAATGACTCTCAATTATCAAGTCAAAATCTATTTTCCTTCCTGAAAGGATGCTTTAATAGAAACCGCAAGTTAAAGTTTTATTCCGTTGCCAATCATTGGAAATTATTAATAATTGTATAGATAAACTAACTTTTGATAGATGACATATTTTCATCAGTGATAGAAAAGCCTAATAGATTGATCTAACGAAAAATGGTTGTTAAAGAAACAAGAGATCATCAATAGTTTATTAAATTATGTTCCATATTTGCGTTAGCAAATAATCGAGAAAAGAAAGTCAGCAACCTACAAGGTTTTAAAAGACGAGCAATGAGTGGAAACTCATTCACTAAACAAATGCCAGCATTTTTTTGATTTGTAAACAAAGTGGGTAACAATTTATTAAAACTAATATCGAATATTGAAATAATCAAGATGCTATTCTTTGAATTGAGGTGATACAGTATCTCTTCAATTTATCCATCTGTCAACAGTCCAGTTCTTAATGAAGCTCATTTTACACGTGTTCATTATAAAGGCGTCTCACCTAGAATTTTCTCGTCTAACAAATCAAAAGTACATTGAAAAAACCAAAGAAAAAGGATGACCTTGAGAATTACAAAATAGTTCAATAAGCGTTTCCGACTTCTATAAACCGAATTGTGAATATATACCGTCCTTATAGCCCGTCTATGGACTTCAAGTCAAAAATTACTGAAGTGATTAAAATTAATGATCTACGAAGCTCTTCACGGAAATCACTCAACCAAACCAATTTTTTCCTTTTTCTGAAACTGTCATTTACCGTGGTGATGTGAAAAATTAGGCAGATTTACTACCAAAGCGATTGTGAAAGCCAATTACATCCATAAATTTTAAATCACTTTTAGGTTGGAAATATAAGATTAATGGCCTGACTCTATTACGATCCTAACCGGTATCTGCTAAATGTAAAAAAATTGCAACGTCTGTTCTGATGGCATGAGGTGACTGAATGTTTAGATGATATGTGCGCCAAAGTGTTAATTAGCCTTTGGAAAAGCAGATAATTGTCTGACGAAATTTCCAGAAACACCGTTTCTCTTAGCGTTTTATATTATATTCTTTTCAAGTCCCTGCTCTATCATAGGTCCACTCTTACTCACCCGACCTCTATGCAACTACCACTGTCAATTAAAAGTATTAATAAGCACCCCTTGCACACTTCCGAGCTCAGAAAAATAAAACACGGACTTATTTCTTAAATTTAAAATTTAAATTTTACAAAACTATATTTAAACCAAATAGCAGGCCCTTTAGTTGACTTCAGACTTCACAGAGAGGAAGGAACATCAACGTGAAAAAAGTCGAGATGGGGGAGGGGGACAAAAGAGTGTTTCAAAGATGTAAAAGAGACCGAAACAAAGGTATAAAAAAGGTGAGGTGAGTACCGTGTAAGTAGTTGAATTTGACATGCAGTGGGGTGGTGGTAGTTTGGAGTCAGAAGTCAACTGCCGGTCAATAGACTTTTTGCCGTAAGAGTATACGTTGCCCAGGATGCACCACGTGGAGGTAAGTCTATCGCGCATCCCATTTTACAAAACTAACAGTATTTCAGCTACTTGATCAAGCACTTTATTGCCCCTTCAAACCCAATTCGGTTTTGAGAAATTAGTGCCTTTATATCGGTTAGACCGACTGTACTTTCTTCACTATAGTTGAATTTCAAAACGATCCTACTCCCATTTGGAGGCACAGGGTTCTAAGTCATGCCTTATGTGAAAACACAAGAAAACCGGGCAGAAGATGAGAGGTTAAATACATATATTAATAATACAGTTTAATTTAAAATAAAGGTTACACAAACTCTAGTCTGTATGTATTTCAAATTTCTATACGAAAATGCCTTGAATCATACTCACTACTCTCTACGGCAAAATATTCTCAAAGATGTGGCGGAAACAGATGTATATCAAGTGTAGCATTTATTAAATTGAGCGATTATGAATAGCTGATTGGCTGAGAAGTCCTCTACACACACCACCATACTCTCCTGAATGTTCGAGTGCGCATGAGAATGCTTAGTTTATTCCAGCTGCTTGTGTTCGCTCCACATAAGTAGAATAATTTAAAAGGATCAACAACTTCTTCAAACATATTTTGGGATAAATGGATATTTTACGCCTTCAGATAAGGATTTATTTTTTAACAGGTCAAAAATTGCGCCATTACATGCAGATTAAAATAATTTTAAAAAGTTATCATAATATTCCTTTAATGGGATTTCAAGCTGAAAGATAATGAACTAATTTCTCATAAAAAGAACAAAATAAAAGTGATAACAAGGTTCATTTCAATTTCAAGTCTTCGCACACGATCAAGTGATGCATGAAATAAACAGTTTAAAATATAAGGGAATAAAGATGAAAGAAAACATGGAAGAAAATGAAAAAAATTGCATAGAGGATAAATAACATTATAAAAGAGGATAGCAGTATCGACTGCCGTATTCTATTTTACATAAATGATTGAAAAACTTACTCTAACTTGCAAAGTGTTAGTACTTCTCAAGAACCGAGTGATAAAACCACCGTTATTAGCCATTTGTAAGGAATTTCGATACATATGGCTATTAAAGTATCGTCTGCGATTCATCATAACCTCATATAAAATAGCTATTTAAGCGGTAATTTTTACCGTTAAATAAAATATATGGCAAATATATGAAAAATAGGGCACTATAAAGAAATTTTAAGGTGGAACTTTATTCATTTTATTTCCATATTGTACTTCTAAAAATTCTATTTTAATAAAACGCAGTATTTACAAATAGAACCATCTCTAGATTATCAAACAGAGTTGCTCCTTCCATGACACAAAGAATTTGCCTTCTTAAAAAAACAAATAAACCACGAATTGTTGGCTCCAAACAATTATTATTGAGCCTTGAAATGCTAAAATTATGCAAATTTTATAATCTGGCGAATATAAAATTTGGAAATTTCAGATTCCGTCTTAATGCCAACAGACAGCTACGTAACTGCAAATGTGCGAGAGTGCAGAAAATATCCTTTAATAATTGGGTTGCCTTAAAATGTGCCTTTTAATTCACTCTCAAAGACATTTAAAGGAGTTACGAAGCGTGGATTCACAAATGAATCAGACAATAAAATCGATGACATAAATAAACGTTTCATGTAAAAGCATTATCCCTTGTCATAAATTGATTCAAAACAAAATTATTATTTTCAGATCGTTAAGTTTCCAGATTTTTCTATCCATAATAATTTCCCAATTCAATCAAAATTTACATTATTTTTCAAAATCATGAAATTATAGTTTCATTGATTCAATACAGATCGATATTGGTTGATATCTATCTCGTCTCCTATATATAGAAAAAATATTCCATATTCTCTGCATCTAGTTTTTCTTTAAGTTTTAAGAGAGTGTTGTGTAGCATTAATGATTCGCGCATTTATTTAGAAAATTGACGTTAAGACTAGACATGTTGACATGCCGTAACATACGTGCAAATCTTGACAAGTCGATCGAGTTCAGGACAGGAGCAGTCGAATAAATCACGACATGAATGATGGCTCTCATTCATAATTTCTCCAAGCTTGCGCAGAACTTGATCCGCCTCACCGGGTTCATATTTTTCCATGGCAGCCATTTCACAGAGCCTCTTGAAGTTCAAAACTCTTTGCGCTTCGGAGTAACAGTGCATAGATCGGCGTGCAGGAATTGATTCAGCTAACGGAAAAAATTCTAGTTGTAGAGGTGCGTTTAATACAGAAATAATATTCAATTATACAAAATTACATCTTGCAAGTTTTCATGTAGAAATTTACTAAATAGCTTCTATAAACTTTCACTGATTTCATTCATGATTCAGACAAGGTAAACTATATTGATGCGTGAAAAATAACAAGTGCTGCAAGATGCTGAAAAAAGGGGTAAATGATTCTAGCAGAAAAATTTGTTGAAAACCTTGTAATCAGTAAAAATTTAACAATATAATACACAAGTAGTTGTCAGGTCTCTAAAGCCCGACAAGATCTAACTTTTTAGAATAATTGTTGCCATCAAAATTCAGTAATGGAAGAAAAGATTTTTAACTTGATATTATTACCGAATTGAAATAAATCGCATATGCAAATACGTTCTTGACTAATGATGCAGACTTCAATTCACCGAGGAGTTTATTGAGCTACGAACAAGATTTCTCTAATAGGTAAATTTATGAAGTTGGGCATTGTTAATGCAATATTCATTTCAATATTCTCCATAATCTTATGGATATTGCATATTGCAGTCATTCATGTTCTGAAGCAGTCCACAAAACACTCCTTATAATCCTACCTTGCCGCGATTAAAGCGAATTGAATTGAATGGTTAGCCTATTCGTTTACTGCTAAAGTTTTGAATTACATGGGTACGACTTTGATTATTTATCAAGAACAGACAGTATATCTGAATATGGACACGGTAATATAGTGATTATTCATTCTCATTCATCATAAATTATAATTAATCCCTGCCAATAAAAAAGGGAATTATTATTTGATATCGGAAAACTTTTGTATTTGACAGTTAATAAAATCAAAGAAATGGGAAAATAACAGGAATGAGCTGTAGGGGAAAGAAGCTCATGTTATTCCTGCATTGAGGTGAGTAAATGTGAAATGCATAAGCTTCATCATTTCAAAATTTAGTGTGACAATGCTCAGATAATATCAACTTTTGGCAAAATCGGATAAAGACTCACTCGACTCCTGTTAGTTTGTGCTCTACTTAACAATATGGAACATCGTTAATTATAGTCAATTGATTTATTGGAAGCTTTCATTAATACCTCAATCATACAATAATTTGATTCATTCGTTTCTTATCAAATAACGCACCTCTGAGCAAATAAAATAGGTCACTCCTTGTGAAAAGTTAAAATAAGTTAAATGATATTTGTGGACTATTTCCGCAAGAATGAAACCGGTTGAGCTGTATAAATTATATGTCTGGAGATCATCTTACCTAAAGCATTTGGAAAAGCCTTCATCCAAGGTGACTGATCACCAACCATGTCAATTGGTCTTTCTTTGGCATAATACCTCTGAACGTCAAATAGGGTTATGGTTTCTTTCCTAAATTCGGGCTTCTTTTCAAGATTGTTTAACAAAATCTGAAATAAATTAAGAAATTTATTAGTTGGATTAGTTTCGATTTCTTAGAGCTTTCTAGTATCTTTAACTTCGTTTATTTGGTATAGAGAAAAGGTTTACGCCCCTTAAAGAATAACTGATGAAAATCCGCAGTTTACAGTTTTGATACTTTTAGACTGCCTTTATTCCTAATGATATTGGAAATTCACAAACGTTTGAGCTGTTTATACGTAACAGGTGAAAGATTTGTTGCGCACATTTCATTTTAATACCGTTTGAATAGATAATAATTGATTACGGGATTTTTCTAGTGTATACGCATCACCAATAATGTTTCATTGATTTTCCTGATCTTATACACGAAGCATGTGAAACTTCGCTTTGATATATTAACACCTCTTCATTTTACACCCTGAGTTAGACAGACCATTTGCATAGCCAATTGAATGCACGCAGCAACAGTCCTCTTCAAAACTAATTGCAAAAAAGATAACTCGAATATATTTCACTTAAGAATTCCACCTGATAAAGTGATACCACACCTACACCATCATATCCTCTTCCAAACTATCTACACACCTTACTCCTTTTCAAGCTCTGTTAGTTGTGCTAAGTGGCTTATTAAAAGTCGGCTTACCAGCGCAGCCTCTCTGCATTGGGACACTCTGGTATTATAGTCGGGTGTGGCCGCTTTATTCAAACGAACTCCACAATCCGCAATACAAAAGACACCACCTTTGGGTATCAGCACTGGTGTTGTCGTTAATAGGGGCTTTGTAAATTCAATCATCATGGCCTATAAGGATAGAAAATGACTGAATAATACATTCTTTCAATCGAAAACGCATGTTAAGGAGTTTGGATGATAATTCAAAAATGGACTTAAATGGCACATAGTTTGCCCAATTGCGCATTTATGTTTTCCACAATTACACGTTAATAGCCATTGCCATTATTTTAAGTGTTCATTATAAATTAATATCATTAATTTTGATAAATAATTTCTATAAAATCTTGCAAAAATGATCAAATATTAAATTCTATAACATTTTAAATGAGAGTGCTGTTGAATCTTTAGAAAAATTAAATTTGCTTTATCAACGGACATAAAAATGCAAATAGAAATTTTATATTCCTGATATTGGCATATTCAGTATAGCATAGTATCAAAATCGGTGTCTTGTAAAAAGCTCATAAAAGTTTAAGTTTAAAAAAAGTGAATAAATTAAAAATATGTGGTTTGAAAGAATTATTCTTACGCCCACATGCACATGATATCTTGTGATCAAAATTGTTGATTTTACTTGTTGAAGATACAGAAGCTCTCAAATTCTTCGTTTATCGGCAGCTCATCTAACTGTTCAAGCTACATCCTTCCTCTGATCTCTGATCCCTCTTGCAGTGATTGGTGGTCCCTACATCTTTGATTTCTCTCGTTTCTGTTTTTATGTGAAGATCGTGGGAAGTTAGATGCGTGATTGCTCAAACTGACTCTGTGGTTTCTACTTAGGAACTGTTTCAAAAAACCGTCAGAACAATAGTGTGCTCCGGTCAAGACAGCCAAATGACTACATTCTATTTACTTTATTAATATTCTTGTCGGTGGACACTTAGGCAACAGAGTCCGTTGGTTATCCATCGCCATTTCAGATTGGCCAAATCTAGGTGCTTAAGAGCAATAGCTTTCAACTTCACATTGATGAGGCCTCTTGAAGTTGTTCCCCTATTCACGATGGTGTCCGGCAAAGGTTTCAAACAAAATCTTTCATAAAATTTTCAGAATTAATATAATTATTTATTTGTTAAATCAAAATTTTAGAGAAAACCCCTACTAAAACTTCGAATACTTCACCACAGCATCATGTAAAAAAGTAGGAACTAACAGCATAATTGTTCCATTGAGTTCTGATTTCAATTACTGATTTGTCATATCCATTCCAGTAAGTCCAGGGCTACTTAAGTTCATTTTTTGAGGTTTTAAATGTTCTTCTATTTAATAGCCAAATGGTTAATCAACCTTTATTGAACTTTCAAGAGAATAAAATGGTATTGGAAATCGCCCTATCCAACGCAAATTTTAATAGGCATCAAGTTGACTTAGCACTTGAAGTTATCCATGATGAAATTACCAACTAACTTTGAATTCACGTCTCTCAAAATTATTTCAAGATATCTAAAACATGACCTCTTCCAATCAAATGAGAATGAGCTGTAAGTTGACGCAATCAATAGAAAATAATCCGAAAAATTCTTTCTAACTTTAATTGTGTTCAAAGCCAATCTGCTTAAGAAGGTCTTTTATTTATTTAATTCGGATTTGCTATTTTACAATGAAGAAAAAATATCCATAATTTCTTAATAAACATTTTCCACCAAATGTGTGGGCTAATACTATGAGATACTTTTAATGCACCCCAATATCGCAAGAGTTATTATTAATGTCTTTCCCATGACTTACCGTGGAGTCAGCTAGGAGGCAGGCCGCTTGATCCATTCCCCCGCCCTTGGTTCCAATTAGAAGCTCACAAGCCGCACAGATATTTGCCAAGATTTTCTAAATGCGAAATATATTGATGCCTTTCAGAAATCGCGTTTTATACAAAAATTACAAACAATTCTACTTAAAACTTTAAGTAGTATTAAAATTTTACTTCATTAATGCAGACACTTTCCTTTCTTTAAATTAATTTCTGAAGTAAATATTATAGAATATTTATAAAAGGCTCATAAATTAAATCGCATCCAGCTGAAAGATAAAATATGCTTTACATACAGCATCATGTAATCGTTCAGTAAGCACTGAACTGCCTTATACATACAGACGTCCAAAATGTATTTCGTTAGGAATACAGAATACTTAACTTTTACATTGATAATTTTGACGAACATAGTACACCATTGATTTTTATTATCTTGGAGAGCTAGTGTACTTGCTCTCAGAATCTTCGGTTTTAGGGCAATTGCACTTTACTATATTGGCTAAGTACGGCACTTTCTGAGGTTATTACTCCACAGATATATATTCGCATTTCATAGCATTTCGTATTTCAACCCACCTTCGTTTGAGCCTTTCTTTACTTGAATTTTATAGGTATTTAACTCACTGGTTCAATGTAGCTATTTGTAGATCGCATAACGGCCATTGCGGAAGCAACAACCAGAGCACTGCTGCTTGAAAGTCCAGCGCACATTGGCAGATAAGAAGAATCATTTCCATTTGCGATGAGCATACAAATCGATGGAGCTTTCCAGTCCTAATTAGCAGGAAAATGTTTATTTAAAGTGACGGATATTAAGGAATTTAAGATGAAGTATTGAGTAATAAGTCTTAATCCTTTTACTGCGTCATTGTTCCCCATAGATCACTTAATTATGGACACACATTGTCTGAAACTTAAAGCAAACACTGAAGGGAGAAAAGCTATTAATTTCTTTGTAACTTTGACTGTTAAATTATGCATCAAAAGCAAGATTTGAAATTAAATTTCAGGGCATAACTTTTACTTACTGGAAAATTCTGCCTAGCATAATCGCAAAATCCTCTATAACCACAAAGGACATAATGGTACCATTTCAACGGACATGGAGGTCCATCCTGCGCGAAAGTTTCTGCTTCTTCTATGGTGCAAGTGAACTCCCTGAAAAATACGTCGATTCATCATTGACCCATGAACATAATTTCCGAAACAAAAGTGAACTTACTCCCAGTTCTCCTTTTCAGAGAGGATATGGACCAATCCTTGGGAAGATTCAGATAACTTTGCTACAGCAATAAACACTGATTGTTTAAGGTCCATTGGAAGAACTCCATAACCACTATAATCAATATGTTCTCCTAAAATGGAATAGACATCAAGAGAAATTTCTAAATCAAGTGGCAAAAGTAGATAAAAGGAGCCATAAAATGCATGTTTCATAGCTTTAACATTTAGAAATATTAATTTTGATTTTAATTAAAGTACCAATCGAAAAGCGAAATATTACTGATAATTCGAAGAATACAAAATAGTATTAAAGAATTAAAATAAAAGTTAAAGGTGGTTGAAAATCTATTTCCAGTGGGTCAAAAGACCAAGTTGAATCAACGATTGCAAACAATTTAACTGGTAGGGAATTAATTAATAATGTTTTGGCTGTTTGGTTGAATATGTTACCATTCCATGACATAATTAAAGATGCGATTTTAGGCAAAAATAAACCCAATATTTCCCTTTGGAATGCTCAAAATGCATTTAAAAAATATTTTTCTTAATTAGGAGTAATAGAACAATGAAGCTGCTATATTGTACTTAGTACGAACGTTTTTCTTAAAATAGTGATTAAATAATCGATTTAGTCTAGTCTAGTCGTGAGTATGTATTACCCCGCGGCTTTTAAGTAACCTACCGACTTCCCTCACTGTTTCAACCCTGAGCTATAAGCTCCAGTCCAAAAATAGAAATAAAAGTGCTCAAAATTTGTCATAAGGTTGTCTTTTTTCACCTTAGTCAACGACTTAATGAGTTTGCACTTTTACATCAGACAAGTATTTCAAGATCGATTAAAACTCACTCAAATATAGTCACACTTCTAATCTCTTTAAATGGTGAATTTCCGAGCATTATGCAACCTCAGTTTGTGTTATAAACTATTAGAAGAAAATTTACGAAATAAGTAAAACATTAGTTCCAAACAAAGGTACTTGCCGATAAGATTAACACGACCTGGTGCTCTTACAATAAAATCGCATTGATTAACTTCAGTACAACGCCGAATAAGCAGTGATTTCAGTCGATCTGAAGTCTCATCTTCCGTAAAAGTGACGTAATGTGACTGCAAGTAAATGAATTTTTTCCTTAAACTTTAATAGCACCGCCACAATCAACACTTAGTGGCGATCAAAAGTATAACACGGAAAAAATCGACTTACCAACATTCTGATGGTATAGCTATTAGAAGAACATTTGTTTATAAATGCACCTAACAAATGCTGATAGAAGTAGACTGAATACCTACCTTCAGTAATCAAATATGATTGGTTATCGATATTTTGTTTATAAGTGATTCAATGTTGGCGGTGAAAATAAATAGGTAGTGACCTTGTCAATGAAGTGTGCATAGTATGCTTACTCACATGACGTAGCTGTTGAACCATTATAAACTATATAAAGAGCAAATTTAGAATTTTTGTTTTGCACGCTCTCATGCGCCCAAATTATAACACTTTTAGGTAACTAATTTGTACGTCTAGCTTTACATTTAGTCATGGTTAAGTATACAATTTCAAGCTAATAGGAGATAAAGTGGATTACCCGATTAAATCAGAGTCAATTATAACATGAGAAATGTCTCGTTTAATTTGAAAATTTAATATTCATTATGTGAATTTCACCTATTGAGTGAAACTTGCTAATTCTTGCATTAAAACCTTTAAATCAAACTTCTAAGAACGTGAAATCAAAATCTCTATAGCCTGTAGCGGATTGCTACACCAGTAAATCCTGATTGACTCAGAAATCTCTGTGGCAGATTCTCTAACATCTAGCTAAACTCCTAGAACTAGCTAAGCTATACCCCAGATATGGAGGAAACAGACGTATAGCACGAAACACTTTTATTCAGTAACTATATTGTGGATAAAGTGTACACGCAGGGAGCTTAGTCATGGTCAGTATGGCGGATTAGGCTAAACAAACGGGGCCTCTGACTGGCCACTGGTTGTACGGTTGTCTGCACACGGAGTTGTACGGCCGCACCTCCCGATCACGGCGTGCATACTTGCGATGAAGCGTTAAGCGATTACGTGTCCCACAAGCCCGAATGTCGCATCATATCATTGGGAAAATTTGAACAATATTATTTATTATTATTAAGATATGTGAATTTGCAGATCTTTCTAAAAGACAACACAGTTTAACTTCCATAAGTTTTGTGATTGAAGATCATAAAGCGTTCAGACGTTTTCCGATGTAAAGAAGATAACGTCGTTTGACAAACCGCACCTTCAGAAGTACTTCATTGGAAATGAATTTACTGAACTTTAAGTCCAATAGCAACTATTTGCTTAAATTTGGTATGAAAACTCATCCTGATTGTGTCTATTTTAAGTGCGTCAATGCTCGAATCATTTTAGATAACTTTTTGGCCAATCTCCACAACCTCAATGGGTTTAATACATACTCATTTGAAAGATTAAAATTAGAAAAGTATTTTTTAATGTAATTTTATGAGTTGCATAAGAATATCTACTTTTAATGTCCAGGTTAATGTATTTACACAGTTTGGTGATTTCAAGAATTGCTATCGATCATTAAAGATGGTATCGTCACTGTCCGCATATTATAACCCCCTAGGGGATAATCAAATCATTGTTCTGCATCAATTCCTACTACTCTCGCCTCACCATGATTGATCCTGCGATATGCTTTTCTCTACTCCATATATATGCATGTATGTGTGTGTGTGTGCATCGGTTCAGCTCTCTTAATCATCTTCATTAGAAAACTCGTGGTTTTAGCCATATTTTTTGTTATTTTCTAAATTTGCGTGACCCCAATATTTTGTCCTCCCCCCCCGAAAACCTTCCTTTATCATAAGCGCCTTTTCACATCTTCATAATAATGAAAACCGTGAGTCCGCCTTTGTTTCCAATGTAGCTGATAAGCTCGAGGTATTATTAAAAAAGTTGAACTTCTATAAGCTAAAATTACCGTTAAATGTTTTTTTATGAAAATATATTTAGTTAATTAATTATGTTTTCACTGACATTAATTACATGGCAAAAAAAAGTGTGTGTGTGCATTGAGCGAGGCATATTGATGTGCTGGCAAACGCTCCTCCCTCACTTCTGGGAGTTAGTACACGTTGCCTAATGATGAATTTTCGACCTTTTTTCTATGCCAACATTTACTTGCATCCTGATAAATAAACAAATAACCTTTTTGTTTGTTAAGCGTTATGTCTATAACCATAATTAATGACGTGTCTCTTCTTCTTCTGTGTAGTCACTTTTACTGAGTTGAAAGCTGAAAACACAATAAATTTTTGACATCTGATTTTTTGTGAAAATATTGTTAAATGATATAATGACTTAGTAAATCTAACTATCGGGTAATGAGTGGAAGTGTATGTATTAGAATTGTCATACGAAGATTATTATTTGTCACAAATACCTGTATCTAGAAGTTACTTTTCCTCGCACAACTCTTATGTTTCGACTTAGCTTAGTACTTTAATTATCTAGGGGTGTGTGATAGACCGCACTCTATGTCATTTTCGACCACTTCTATAGTACTCACCTTACCCTACTCTCTATCATTGTGTCTGTCTCTTCTACATCTGAAAATCACTCTTCAGTCTTTCTCTTGAATTTTTCTCACTTTGACGCTTCTCCCCTCTGTGAAGTTCGAATTCAGCTAAGGGCTAATGATAACTGCCAAAACGCCTGACATTTGAAATAAATATACACTAATTATCCACATATCCTATGCATATATGCGCATTTATTTTACTTAAATTTCATTTTGTCTAACACTTTGACATTAGTCCGCCTATTTATCAGCATTTAGACTTAACTGTCGACGACTTTAGGTGAAGGCTCACTAAAGTTAATGTCTCAGGCCCGCTTTGAGAAAATGGAGTTATAATTCGTACAATATTATAGGCAGGTGTTTCATTCTTGATAAATATGCTGTTGAATTACCAAGATCATATTTTTGTTAAGAAAATTAAGCTACCCAATAATTACCGATTTTGTAAGCTCCCAAATCAAATTTAATAAATTGGCATATAAGACGAAATTTTATTTCGCAGGAATTGAAATATCATCTTAATAAGTGCACAGGAAAAATATTTTTTAAAATGCTCATATAACTTTATCTTAACTGTCTAGCATTGTTTAATGTTAGTCGATAAATGAGTTATATTTTACGATCAAATATCTTTGCCCAATTCTAATAATTATTAAGTTAAAAATGCAGTGAGAGAAAGTTTTCTTGGCGCATTTCGTGACTAGAAATTTATATTTCATTTGTTTAATTATGATAGAAAGTTATGTTCACTTTAATTGGCGAAGATGAGGACCATATATCAGATATGTACTTTAAGTTGAATTAACAATCAGATGCACTTTAATGAAGGCACCCACAGAGTAACCTATTAAACTGAAAAACTTTTATTTGAATATTTGCCAATATCACTTCCGCAAACCCACTCACACAATGACCAATAAGAATAATTGAATTTCGAAACTTGAAATGGTAAACTGCAGCTTAGGTAGGTATTGTACAAGTAAAATTGAAGGGTCAAATGAATTAACCCTTGTGACGTTCCACGTTCGGGAATTTCTCGCATCATATATTCATCTTAATTCTTTACAAGTCCATTAGGTAAACAAAGAAGTTAAATTAGATCTACTTCTAGTCATGAAAGTTGAATGATCTGAATGTGATATCCCGTGAAGGTGATATCGAAAAAATCCAAATGCCAACATGAAAACCACCTTTTCCATGCAGTAATAACGAGAGTTTGAAGGACCCAGTGGTATCTTGACTTGAAAAGAATGAAATGAGTACTGCCTTAAAATCTAATAGCACGTAAATACTAGCAAGTTAAAAGTGACATTGTGCCTAAAGGTTAAAGGACGTTCTACTTTTACTTATTTAATGAGTGGAACCGTAGTTACTTAAGCTGAGTAGACTTATGTGCCAAAACTTCAGCATCTGCTTTATTTCTCTAAATAAGACTCTACAATTTCTACAAACTGGATACAAAAGTCGTTTTATAACCATGTCTAAAATAATTAACTTCAAAATTACTATGAAGCTCGCAGAAAATAAAAAGGTATGGCCATTAAAAGCTCTTTCCCACTGTTACTCGTAATAATAGCATAAATCGGCCAGCCAAAACGTTACATAGGCAATACTGAAGCTCTTCAGAAATACGCCCCTCGGTTTAATATTAATCTTTTCTGTCAATCATATATAAATACAGTCAAGAATTAATGGGATTTGAATTATTTGCTTTTAAAGTCACTTTGTTATCATTTATGGTGTAAATTAAAATATAGTATCATAATTAACAAAAGACACGGTAAATATCAACGAAATAATTTGGGCAGAGCACATAAAAAAATTTGATTAGCTCGCTAATTTACCAATAATGATGCGAGTAATTATGCGGAGAGATTTGATTCAAGCACACATGGAATTACTCAAGCAGTTTTTACCAATTATTTAATCACAAGTTCAAAATGAAGGAAATGTAAATCGTGGCTTCTTCAATTATTGAATAGAAGATTTAAAGATTTCCAAAAAATTCAAGAACCACTTTTAGTTGATGAACTTATTTGGAAAATCAATGAATTAAAGGCAATTTCGTAATTTTCACTATTACTTTTCAGAATGTATTGACCCAACTGAACGCTTATAATACTTAAAAACAATAGATATTATATTCGATTTCTATATTTTATTAAAAAAAATATGGCAAAAATCCTTCATGAAATAAAAGTAATCAAAAATATTTATTCCTCATCGAGTTTTAAAAGGCATCAGTGGTATTCTATTGATTATTTATAGTAATTACATCATTCTAAACAATAAATCTTTTTTTTTAATATTGTCCACTCTATTGTACATTAAGGAACGAAATTCTTATCCTGAGGAAGGAAATGTCATTTTATATTGCCATATATATGACAGCTAATTCTGTAGCTAAGTTATTCAAGTAAAACACGATCTTATCAATCCTCATGAAATGTTGCCGCAGTGGTAGTCATGGAATAAATTAAAGCTAAAACTTGGCAATTCTGAAATATATTCGTTAAATAAAAGAAGAAATGTGATTTCCATTCC